AAGCCAGCGCTTGCCTCCATTAGTGGCTCTGGGTAGTCCTTGCAGGAGAAATCACCACCAGCGAATCATCGTCCATTTAGAGCAGGCTGCAGAGGCTAGGCAGCTCCCTGACATCACTGTCCAGAAGCCTCTTAGAAATGAGCAAGGAGTGGCATTGGTGCTAGTGCCATTCAGCAAGGCATTGGAGGTACGCCTTGCTGCATTGTGGTACCTGATGAACAGCATCTCGGTGGTTGGGTATCTGGCACCCCGGCTAGAAGGTTGACTTCCATTAAGCTTTATTCAACCCTGCATCATAGCCGGGCGCGGTGGCTCAAGCCTGTAATCCCAGCACTTTGGGAGGCCGAGACGGGCGGATCACGAGGTCAGAAGATCGAGACCATCCTGGCTAACACGGTGAAACCCCGTCTCTACTAAAAAATACAAAAAATTAGCCGGGCGCGGTGGTGGGCGCCTGTAGTCCCAGCTACTCGGGAGGCTGAGGCAGGAGAATGGCGTAAACCCGGGAGGCGGAGCTTGCAGTGAGCTGAGATCCGGCCACTGCACTCCAGCCTGGGCGACAGAGCAAGACTCCGTCTCAAAAAATAAATAAATAAATAAATAAACCCTGCATCATAGAAGTGGTGGGTATGTGTTTATGCATCTATGTGTGTATATGAATGATATGGCCAGAGGCTCAGCTGTCCATCATCAAAAAGTTTCTTAAAGGAGACTTGTGAAGAACCACATGGAATTTGTAACTTGATCACACAATTTGGACCATTAAGGACTTGAAAATAGCTCTTCGGTTTTGTTGGTCACACCTTTCTCTAAGCTCAGTTAATGAGCAAATCTTTATTCTTTACAAGATTAGCCAGGTGTGTTTGGTGAATGTTAACTTTAGCCTTGGCTCCTTAGCCCTGCTGCTAATGAGGCCAAAGTGGGAATTCCTACCTCTTGTGGACCAGTTACCTTCACTCTCTTTCCTGGCCACCGACCACTAACCCTTGCCAGCTGGCTTGTGAATGTCTGCAGTTGGATGTTGGAGTGTGGGGAGGTGGGGGAAGGTGTTGTATGGATTAGTGCAAATCCATGACCCCTCCTGGGGAAAAGCCACACACGTACTCCACTGAACAAGGGTCAAGTGCATTGTCTCCACTTTTGAAAGGCAATAGAGTTGATTAAGGTTAACTGGAAAATGCTGATGTTGGCTAGAATTTTGGACTTTTGCCAGGATATATGCAACATTTAAAGTGATTTCTGGAAACCTGTGCCCATGGTTCACTGGTAGAAGAGCTTAGGATGAATAAAACAGTGGAAACTAAGGAGAGTGTGATTACTTTTAAATATGCAGCAACAAAAGGGACATGGCAATAGCTGAAAAATCTGTTTTCTAGGAATGTAATGTTTTCCAAAATCTTAAGCTGGCTTACATCATATTTGGGTTGTAGGTTCTTCAGACTTTTAACTCTTGGTTCCTACCTATTGCCCAAACAAGATATATAGGTTAAATTTATATTATAGCTATTTATTATGGAATTGCAATTAAATAGAAATCTTAGAGTTACTGAAAACTTTTAAGATTTTAAACAAACATTGAGGAGCATATAATGTTCTAGAAGATAAATATTTGCATAAGGCAGTTCAGTCCTTCAACATGTGTATTTTTAAAAACAAACAAACCCCCATTAATATTTACCCTAAGTGTAATTTGCAAAGTAAAATGAGAGTAATTTTGAAATCTTGTATTACTCTGATTCATTTATTTTCATAGGATGGATTTACATTTTGGAATGATAAATGTGCAATAAAGAGCTATTAGGAAGGCCATTATTTCTCTTAGATTTGGGAAATTCTAACCCTGCTTTGTTACATATCACTATTTCCCAAAGAAAAGAAAATTGGGCCCAGACAAACTGTGACTTACCCAAGGTCACTTACTCAACTAGAAAGTGGCTGAGCTTTGGTGAAAACCAATCCCCCTGTCCCTCAGACCAGTCGTATTTCCATGACAGCATGCTGATTTTTTTCAGGGAGCGTATGCGCGCATGTACATGTGTAAATAAAATGGTTATTTTTAATTAAAAAAATGTTTTACCACCCATGGTCCTGGGTAAAATCGCTATTTTGCTTCCTTTTAACGAACTGAGTAAAAGCATGGTAACTTGGAAATATCATTTTCTTTCTCATCCTTTCAAGAAGCAAATTCAGCCTATTGCTTTACAGTCTTAACATTTTTTTATGTCTCTAGATACAGAATTGACTTTGTCTTTTCTTTGCCTTGTAAGCTGTTTAGAGCAAGGTAAAATTACAATCATAAGCTGAATCTGGGAAAAAAAAAAACCCTATTGTCTTTCTTGAGTACCCTCATTGCCTCGAAAAGAACTATTACCCAAGTTTCACTTAATCATATGGTAACTTACAACTGTTGTAATTTGTAAAATACATGACGATTTGGTCTTGTCTCCATTGTCTCTCTTACCTCTTCGTGATTGTATTCTGCTTATTTTAATGCATGGCCAGCCAACTGTTATTTTTCAGAAAGACCACCCCACATATAAAATGGAGTGGTCTTTAAATGTCTTGGGCTTTGAAAGATTGTTTAGCCATTCCTTCCCAAATGCTTCGGGTTTGGATTTTGGAAACGTATGTTTCTGCCATTGGTATCACTGCACATGTTCTCATCTTCCTTTTTTCTTTGAATTTGATCAAACTTTGTTCGCTTGTAGTACCTCCACGATCAGCAGAGTCTCTCTAGTCTTTCCTGCTTTTTCCTCTTTTTTTGTTCCAAATTTTCTTTTTTTTCCCCTCATTTCTTTACTTTCTTTTGATATATCTTTTTAAAAAGTCAAAGTAGAAATACATGTAATTAAATGCTATAGCAGTTTAAAGATGATATAAATTATTAAAAGAAATAGAAGTTATAACTGGATTTATATCAGAAAATATTTCTAACCTATATAAAAGGATTTATATATTTTTATTTGTTTAATCTTTTAAGTACTTATATCTTTTTAAAACTGCTACGGCATTGGTCACTTGTATATATTTTGGCTCTGATTTTCCTAAAAGACTTAGAAAAGAAAAGTAATAGAAATACACACATATATGTATATATATATGTATACACACACATGCACAGCATATAGTAAATAAGAGAATTTCATATCTTTACAAATATATTCAGAAGAGAACCACTTCAAACACATGGGTTTTACTCAATGAAGATTGCTTCTACCTTTATGTGGTGGTCTAAGGTTTCTGTCACTTTCTTTGTTAGTTGTATTTGAAAGCAGGTGAGTAAACCAGAAAGAAATGATTCAGTCTGCTTGCTCCAGGCACAGAAGTAGGGGGATATAGGCCTGCAGCTCTCAGGCTTTCTGTGGGCCTGCTTACCCACTCTGTTTTGAGGAAGAAACTGGGGGATGTCAGCCCAAGCTTTGCTTGGCCACATCTGCCTCCACGGCTAGCTGAGAGTCACATAGATGTCACTTGTCACACACACCCTTGGATCTGAGCTGCTTAAGGGCGTTACCACACATCACAGCTTGGTGCTGGGGCTCAGCATGGCGGGGTGGCTAACCAGGGCTTGGTGTCAACCACATTTGGGGTGATGAGGACACTTGGAGGACACAGAGCCACCGTGCAGCAGGAGTCGCCACTGCTGACAGCCAGAGAGATTGGTGCCCATTTTGCCCCAATCCTCCTCAATCCCTTTTCAAGTGGAAATTTTGCAAGTCGACTTCTGCAGCATGCGTAGTACAATTTGGCTGACAGCAGTTTCTGGCAAAAGAAATAACCAAATTATTATTCAGTCATGGGTTTTTAACAGCCGCAAAGCAAGTGGATGTTAACTAAATGATGCAATTTATTCCCTTCCCTCTTATTGCCAGCTTGCCTATTACAGAGCGACTGCCAGTTTTCAATAAGTGGTACCCAGATGGTATTCGCATGCCGCCCACTTGGTTACAGAGCCGAAGCGGGGAATAACTCGGCAGACACTACAAGCTGTGGGTCAATTGAGGGGGAATGCCTGTTGCTTCACAGTTTTGCATATGTAAATCTGTTAATGTTATGTCAGTATTGTGCGGGCTAAACACAAGCATTGCCTTTCTCTGGGGGCCCAGCTGAACTTGGACCACAGCCCAGTTATACCGAGGCTCGGAGAGCGAAGCTGCAGTTTGAGGATGCTGCACCGCCCGCTCCCCTCCACTCCTGCCTCCATGCTCTTGTGTTATCTGCAGCCCAAGCTGGATGCAGGAAGTGTCTGCCATAGGCCGACTCCATAATAGGACAGGCAGGCCGGGTTTTATGAGCTGGCTGCGGAGGGAGGAGTGTGAGTATGTGTCTATTTTTAGGCCAGCCTTCAAGACAGTTCCTTTGGCCCAGCCCGCGCCTGCCTGCCTCGCTCACACTCTCCTCTGTGTGTCTGCCACACTTCTGCTCTCCATTTCATCAACTGCAGATGTGGCACACAGCCGTCTTAGAAAAGTCATGAACTGTGTCGTCTGTGCGGCTTAACAGCCAACATCTGCTGCAGCAGGCTGAAGGAAGAGGCAGGGAAATCGTTTTCGGGAATGCATTCAAGTGCCTCGACTTAGCCTCTACTTTGGCCTGGGCAGACAATTATTTTACACTAATTGCATCAAGATAGCAGCTATAAAAACGAGATTTCAATCGCTCTGCTCCCCCACCCCTCTTGTGAAAGTTGCAGTTACAAAGGGGTAGTTCTTTTTTCTTTTTATTGTGGTTTGTTTCTTGTTCTCAAAAGCTTATTACATTGGGTGCAAACAACAACAAAAATGCCATAAAAAGGCAAGAATCGTAATATGCTTAAGAGCTAAAAAGACCTATGGTGTTGGTTTAACCAATGAAAATATTCCTGCAGGTATTGTAAAATTTATGTGCCATATGAAAAACATTAAGGGTGTTGTTTTTTCACAGAGGGAAATGTTCATTGTTGAGCCATTTTGTAAATTATTTTAATGCTGCATTTCTGCCCAAACCTCATGATTTTGATATATAAGCCAGTTTAATGTTTTCTGTACAGACCCTGGCTTTTCTTAAATTTTATATATTGGAAAGCCCATGTTTGTATTGGAAACTGCTGGTTTCTTTCATATTGAAAATCTGTCTTGCGTGGCGTGATGCCATGTGGCAAAGGAGTAGTTTGACCAGAGTCGAACCTCGAGTGTTGACTTTTGAGTCCTAAACACTAGGCAAGACCGTGTGAGTAAATATCTAAAAGGTGTTTTTTTGTTTGTTTGTTTTAAAACCAGGTTTCTTTTGACAGCAATAAGAATAGCATCGCCACAGTACAGTATGGACTTTCTAATGCATTGGTCTGTTTTCAACTTTTCATCTTCTTGTAACAGAGGCAACATTGTGTTCAGTATCTGAGCCTTAACTTTTTTTTTTTTTTTTTTTTTTTTTAATGCTCTCAGAGTAAATTCTGGTGAAATACGCATTCCAGCATCTCGGATTCTCTTGAAAGATTTGTTTCTGTGACATTTTGCTGTATCTGTTGTGCAGCTAGAGTAGCATGCTTCTCTCCTCACATTTCAAGTCTCTAGACTTTGTTCTGAAGAGCCAGATGGAAGTATGCAGATTGTTTTTATCTTTTGTCCTTCACACTGTAACCTGATCTCCAGCATATCTAGACATCTAGCAGAAAATTTACTATGTGAAAGCAAGGAAATGATTTAGAAATATGGACCAGCCAGGAAAGAAAGAGCTCAAGATGTACTTTGTATCAGAGTAAATCTCTCCACCCAACTCCCATACCCTTCTTTTTTTATTTTCATAAAAAATGCTTTTGTCATCTAGGATATGTCTACATATGCCCAAATATTCTTCTTCCCTTTTAACAGGGACTGAGAATTATAATTGACTAGTGAGTTTGGTAAAAGTGTAAATAGGCATGCAATGAAAGTTGATTACCTAATAATCGAAAGCTTGGAAAAAGCATGAATTGGTAGAATCCTAGACTTGGCAATGGCCTTATAAATTAGGGCAGTGCAATTTGCTAAAAGAAAGGACTTGTCTGAAGTTACATACCACTGTTGAGACAGATTCAGAACTCAAAGCCAGCATTGCCTCAGTGGCTCCAGGAAACAACGGAGTCTCAGGCTTCATGGTTTGTGGGGTTTTAATGGCAAGATATTTGCAACCTTTTTGTTAATGCTCTCCTACCCCTTTAACTTGTGGTCCTAAAAACCTTGTTTCCTTCTCATCTTTGATTGGTGTTTGGATTCACGTTAGTAACTAAACATACTCACCACCATATTAGGGTGCTGGATATTTGCTACACTTGTAAGTGTACACAGTCTGCACTTACGTCTCTCTTCATCCATGTTCAGCATAGTGCACACATTTGGAGTCAGGAGACCTGGGTTTAAATGCCACTGTGGCAGTTTGGAGAAGCGATGCCTTAAGTGAGTCACCCTGACATCTCCAGGTCTCTGTTCTCCCTGCTCTAGAATGGTGATGATAATAGTACTTGCCTTAGGGTTGTCACAAGAAGTTAATGAGATTACGTACATGAGACACTTAGCATGGTGTCACTGCAGCACATACAGTATTCTTGTCCTTAACTCAAGTTTATTATTTTAATTGATTATCTGTTACCCTTGACAACAAAGGAAAGGTATAGTAGTGATAAATGCCATATTTAACCTTGAGTTTCAACATTTTTCTCCTGTAGATTGGTTTGTGCTTCTCACCCTTCTTGTCCCCCCTCCCTATTTCTTTTCTAGCACCTTCTGTAGCATTTCTTGTTTTACCTTTGGGTGTCATTAGACGTTGTTTACATCGTTGTCTAGAGGACCAGTGCTGTTTGCAAAAAGCTCAGGTGCTTCCTCTCTTGCTTACCCTTATTCTCTTCCTTGTCTAGTGACATTATCTTGAACTTTCTAGCTGGGAAAGACTAAAGGGGATTTGTCACCTGGTAGGGGTCCTCACCGAACTTGTGTCATACTTGAGAATGTTTTGCCTCATTATCGTCAGTAATATCTTCAATCCGCACCATTAAGACCAACTTAGAGCTTGGAGAAATGAATATTTAAGGGCATATTTATTGCCCAGCTTAGAAAATACAGATTTTAAGTGTTTTCTGCTATTGTTAAACTTTGTCCATTCAACAGGTGTTTATTTAGATGCCTACTATGTGCTAGGTGTGCAGGATGAGCAAGACAGACACTATTTCTGCCCTCATGAAACTTAAAGCCTGACATGAATCTTGACATAGTATATTTTCCTAAAATCCAGCTTTAGTTTTACCTTCGATTTCTGTTAGGCTTTGGTCCTTGTTTCTTGTACATCTACCGACTGATTTCCTACAACTCCAGTTTAAAATTTATGCTAATAAAAGATTTCAAGGTATTCTATTTATAATAGTATCAAAAATACTTAGGAATAGATATAATAAAAGAAATATAAAACTCATATGCTGAAAACTACAAAATATTCTTGAAAGAAGTTAAAGACCTAAGTAAATGGAAAAATATCATATGTTCATAGACTGGACGACTTAATATTGTTATCAAAGTGGCACTCTCCACGTTGATCTAGAGATTTAATTGCAGTCCCTACCAAAACCCCAGGTATTTTTTTTTTTTGGCAGAAATGGATAGATTGATGCTAAAAGTCATATGGAAATGCAAGGATGCCAGAATAGCCAAAACACTTGAAAAAGAACAGAGATGGTTGGGCGTGGTGGCTCACACCTGTAATCCCAGCACTTTGGGAGGCCAAGGAGGGCGGATCATGAGGTCAGGAGATTAAGACCATCCTGGCTAACACGGTGAAACCCCATTTCTACTAAACATACAAAAAAAAACAAACAACAAAATTAGCCAGGCGTGGTGGCGGGCACCTGTAGTCCCAGCTACTCAGGAGGCTGAGGCAGGAGAATGGCATGAACCCAGGAGGTGGAACTTGCAGTGAGCTGAGATCACGCCACTGCACTCTAGCCTGGGTGATAGAGCGAGAGTTTGTCTCAAAAAAAGAAAAAGAACAGAGTTGGAGGACTCACACCTCCCAATTTGAAAACCTAAAACAAAGCTACAATAATCAAGAAAGTATGGTACTAGAATAAGTATGGAGATACAGATCAATGGAATAGAATTGAGAGTCAAGAAATAAACACTTATATTTATGGTCAAGTGATTGTCAATAAGGGTGCCAAGCCAATTCAATGGAGAAAGAATAGTCTTCAACAGATGATTCTGAGAAAAACATGCAAAAGAATGAAGTTGGACCTCTGCTTTACAACATACACATTGAAGACCTGAAAGTATTAAGACCTAAATATATAAAACTCTTAGAAAAATTATAGGAATAAATCTTCTTCATGACCATGGAATAGGTAGTGTTTCTTAGATGTGAAACCAAACCACAAGCAACAAAGAAAAAACAGATAAACTGGGACCCAGGATTTCTACTCCTGCATATGAACTCAAGAGGAATGAAATTGTCTATCTACAGAAAAGCATGTACATAAATGTTCATAGGAGAATGATTTATAATAAGCAAAGAGTGGGGGGACACCTCAAATGTCTCTCAACTGGTGAATCAACAAAATGTGATGAATGCTTGCAATGCAGTGTTTTTCAGCCACAAAAAGGAATGAAGTACTGCTGCTGCACCATGGATGAACCTTGCAAACATTGTGCTGACTGAAAGAAGCCAGACACCAAAAGACCACATATTCAATTCCATTTATAAGAAAAATCCAGAACTGGCACATCCATTAAGACACAAACTAGATTTGTAGTTGCAGGGGGCTGGAGAGAGAGAGGAATGAGGAGAGACTGCTAATGGGTATAGGATCTCTTTTGGGGGTGGTAAAAATATTCTAACTTACATCGTGGTGATGGTTTCACAACCCTTGAATATACTAAAATCCATTTAGTTCTATTGTTTAAAAGGGTGAATTGTATGGTATGTGAATTGTATCTCAATAAAAAGATTCCACAGTCTGTCTGCATTTCTTTACTTGTATAGTGAGGCACCGCTGATTGTGCTTTCTCTTGGCTAATGCAGGGGTCAGCAAATTTCTGTAAAGGGCCAGATAATAAATCCATTAGGCTTTGCAGGCCATACAGTCTCTCAGCTCTCTCAGTTTTGCCATTGTAGTTCAAAAGCAGCCATAGACAATCTGTAAGTGACTGGGTGTGGTTGTGTTCCAATAAAACTTTATTTATTAATACCGAAATTTCAGTTTCACATCATGTTCATGTGTCACTAAATAGTATTTTCATTGTCTTCTTCAACCATATAAAAATGTAAAAATCACTCTCGGCTCATGGCCTGTAAAAAGCAGGTGGTCAGAAAGATTTGGCCTATAGGCTAGTACTTTGCCAACTTCTATGCTGTTGCTACAAACAGCTTTAAATACATGTTAGCAGCTTCATTAGAGGAGGTATTATTCTTGTCCCTATTTCGAAGATGAGGCAGTTGAGAAGTCCAGAGGCTGAGACGAGTCACCCAGATACTGGTTGCCAGGGCTGGTCCTCTACTCTATTGAGTTCCAGAACCTGTGCCAAGAAACCACCGTCTTCCTGTCTGACCCATCTGGGTCAGTCAAGGCAGCCCAGACCCTTCTAGCTGTGCAGGTCACTGCGTGCTTCTCTGACTTGGCCTCTGCGCCTGCCTGGTGCCATTCATTATCCTGCATCTTCCATTCATTCTGGAATGCCCACTTCCTTCACTCCCTTCTAGTATGCTTTTCCATACTGCTGAGCCAACACCCACATTGAGCTGGGGGAAAAACAAATCCACCACCTTGCCTCGCTTTCAGACTTTCCTCGTGACTCACTCCTTCTGGGAAGGCAATGCCTCGGCCACCTTTTGACCCTAAATCCAGCTGGAACCGAGTCCGCCTTGCTGGCTGCTGAGCTCTGCCTTGATCATCTGTCTTTCAGGAGGCAGATTGGCTGTGCATCATTTCAACCCTCTGCAGTGACCATTTTTTTAGAGCCTCTTTGTTTCATTTAGTACCCAGCCCTTGGTTAGGACCTTCAAGGAAGTTAAAACCCCAGTGGCACCTTTTATTTAGGGATCGCTGACTCACTCGGCCTCAGTCTTCTACTCGCCTTTCCCACCTCCACCTGACATCCTGGGACAGTTGGC